CTAGTGTCTCCGTTACACATGTTTAATTAACTCCTTGTCTGATTCAGTAATTTAGCCCCTAGTGAGGCCTCTGATATGCAAAACCCTCTCCTGACCTGCCAGAATGAGCCGCGCAGCTAAGATCAGTCAGACAGACCTTCAGCGCCGCTGTCAGGCACAGGAGCCCTGCTCTCAGCGGGACCTCTTTCTCAAGCACCCAGCTGCTCTTTATCTCTGCCTCTTTGGCAGCGAGACTCTTTGTCGGAGATCATCGATCGTCTATCTCAGCCGGTCAGGCTTCGGCTGGTTAGATTCAGCAGGTAGCGGTGATTATTTTTTGGAGGCTCTTATATTTGTCCTGTCACAGCTCGGGATAGTCACTAGTGAAGGCAGGTTTGGTGTCTCACTTTTTGGTTCCCATGCAGACTCTAGATTAATGCAGATGGGCACTGACAGCGCAGCTAAACGTCTTTATAATTCCAGCGCTAATGGGAGCCGTGAAAACAGACTGATGCTCCTGTCACAGTGAAATCTGCCCCTCGTGCTCACACTTTCTCACGTCCCCCTCCTGCCCTTGTGAAAAAGAAGCGTGCTTAGTTTTATTAAATGTTCACTTATGGTGTATTTCAAATCTTAAAAGAACAGACTGTACTTTCAGATATGATACAAATGAAATAAAAGGCAGCTTAGTTGTACTGTTAAGCAAAATGTGTTAAGAAGTGTATACTCTCTGAAAGAAACTTAATTGCATGTGTTGACTAATATATTTACGCGCATGTAAAGTACTTGATTATAATTGTATCAGTCACACATTAGTTTGGGGATCATTTTTAAACTATTAACTATAACTTTTGCATCAGTAGACTCCTACTTTGCTGCTTATTAATAACTAATAATTGTTAAGTTTAAGGGATCTAAAATATAATCAGGCAGAATAAGACATTAATATGTGCTTTATAAGTAGGCTACTAATGAACAGCTAATATCCTAGTAATATGCATGCTAATAAACAACTAGTGAGAATTGGTCCCTCAACTAAAGTGTTACCATTTTAACTGTAGTGTGTTATTGATATTACATTTAAAGGTAATATAATTTAAATGCACTAAATTGCAACTTCATAATTACAAATATGTTTAAATATAGCATGCAATTTTCAATAGATGTGACATTAAAGTGTATTTTAGTTTGCCATTAATGCTTGTCAGTACATTTAGCAATATTTAAAACACAATAGAATTATGAAATTACACATAAAGTTGTAGTTAAGTGGGTCAAAAAGCACTCTTAAGTTCAGCTAAATGCACTTAATATGCACATTTAAACTATAATACATTCTCATTTAATTAGAAATAACATGAAACTAAGTGTCTGAAAACATTAAGTTCACACTTAAGTACATTCTCTTTAACTTAAATTATTTCTTTAATAAGTACTCTTTTTAAAAGTATGCTAGAGTTCACTTCTTTTCCACAAGGGCATTTGTTCACAGTGTTCTCCAGCTGATAAGTGTTGTACTGTATGTGTGTGTGTGTGTGTTTGTGTGTGTGTGTGTGTGTGAGAGAGAGAGAGAGAGAGAGAGAGAGCTGTATTTCGCAACAAAACAGAAAGATCTGGCTGTAGCTGAAATAATGATGGGGTGAAGAAAATTCAAAATTTGAAAATAGATTTTTTGATTGAGAGCAGCTCCAACATTTCTTAGGTCATTGCTAGAGTGTTCTGGCTGGTTTCTAACTTTCTAAGTGGATTGTCACCATCTTGCTGATCTTTCGGGTCAGTTGCATAAACATACAATAGCCACTATGTTAAAACTGTGTCTTAAAGAGGTCATATGATGCGATTTCAATTTTTCCTTTCTCTTTGGAGTGTTACAAGCTCTTGGTGCATAAAGAAGATCTGTAAAGTTGCAAAGACTAAAGTCTCAAATCCAAAGAGATATTCTTTATAAAAGTTAAGAGTCAGCCACGCCTACCTAAAACGGCTCGTTCGAACACGCCCCCACATGTCTCCGTCACTATGTGGGAAGATTTGCATAACGCCGCCCAAATGTTCACGCAAAGAAAGAAGGCGTAACTTTTATTTTCGCTGTAGTATTGTTGTTGCTGCCGCCATGTC